CACGTCGCCACGGCCTGCGCCATGTTGTCTCGTACGTGCTTGGTCTTCTCCAATCGGCTTGGGCTTGCTGCCCCCTTGGTTCTTATCCGCCCTGCTGCCCGATTGCTGATCGTCCTTCCCCTTGCCGTGCTCCGGAGGTCGCGGATCAGAAGGCCGTGCTCTCAGAGCGGTGGCTGCTCGGAAGTGGCCCGCCGTGGACCTGGGGTGGTGACGTCCGCGCGCTTCACGTCCCGCTCCCACGCTGCTCCGGCTCTTGGACGCCCTGGTGCTCAGTTGCTGGTCGCCCCTCCCCTGGCCGTGTCCCGGGGGCCCTTATTCACCTCGTCTTGCTCGGTTGCTGATCGTCCCTCCCATGACCGTGTGCAAAGGGGGCCCCTGATCACCTGGACTGTGCTCTCAGAGCGGTGGCTGCTCGGAGGTGGGCCACCGCGGACCTGGGGTCGTGACGTTCGCGCGCCACTCGTCCCATTCCCACGCTGTTCCGGCTTGTCGCCGCCCTGGTGCTCGCTTGCCGATCGTCCCTCCTGTGGCCGTGCACTGGGGGCCCCTGATCACATGGACCGTGCTCTCAGCACAATCCGGCGCCCCCACCCTGGTGTTCCCGCTCCCCCGGTAGGGGGACAAAAAAATGGAACCCCATTCGTCTTCGACCCCGCGTTCGCCCCCCCCCCGCCTCTCCTCCCCCCGTTTCAAAGTTGGCTTCGGCCTCCCGGAGGCCCTGGGGGTTCCACTTTTCTTGTCCTCTCACGCCTGTGCTGCCGAATGCCTGAGGCCCACCTTGAAACCACTTTTCTGTCCATTTGCGGCCCCTCTTCCCCCTCCCCCCGCCGGCGCCTTCTGGCGACTCGGCGGTCGGCCAGCCGTCTGGCCGCAGCCTCTGGGCTGCCCCCGCGCTGTGCGGCCTCGCCTGGCGCTGGTGCTCCCAGCGGGGTCCTCTGGCCGAGTCGCCCGCCCCACGTGGAGTCGCCCTCCTGGCGGTGTTCACTGTGTCCACGGCCCTCTTCCGCACGGCTTCCGTGCCCTCTCGGCGCCTGCCCTGGATGTTCGCTCCCTGAGCGCTCGTGCACCTGGCTTGGATTCGCTTTCGTGGTTCTCGTGCCTGTTCCACAGCACCCTCTCCCGCCGCCCCTGGCCGTCGATGCTCGGCGCCATGGTGGCTCTGGCCTCTCGCCCCGAGCCTGGCCTCCACCTGGCCTCCTCGTCGTCCTGTGCGGAGGTCTTTTGCCTGGGTGCTCCGACCCCCCCCCAGGTGCCCCTGGCCCCCGGCCCCGCGTGCCCTCCTCCTCTCTGTCCTCCTTCCTTCCTTTATGTTTTTGTTCTGCTTGTTCTCACGTTTTTTATTTATTCTCCTGCTTCTCCTTCACCGCAAGCAACCGACCGCCACACTGTCCACTCGACCTCCCTACCTCCCCGTTCTGCTTCCGGTTCGTTCTGTCCCCCCCCCCTGTGCCACAGCTCGCCTCCGGAGCGCCCCTCCTGCTGCTCGGCCGCTGCCCGAGTACTTGCGCCCGCGGACCTAAAGGCGTGTGATGGGGGAGTCCGGTGGTGGCCATCTCCAGGGCTGGTTTTGCTGCCCTCAAAATGAACCTCAAAAACGGCGAGCACGCCCCTGCGATGTCGGCGCGCCCTTCAATGTCGATAAGACGCCCCTCCAATGTCGGGGCCAGGGCAAAGATGGTCTGACCGGGAACGACTCGGAAGTTCGACCGACCTTGGAGGGGCGGCGCATACAAGTGCCTCGCAGTCATCGCTGCTCTGTCCAACATCTCCCCACAAACATTTCAGCCACTTAAGACATTATTGAAGTTCATTTTGACGAGTCTTGTGGGAGACGCTTTTACATTCGAAGCTCTCCCCCCTTTCCCTACGGTTAGGCGAAAAATCAAAAATAGCCCCAAAATATTCCAAAATGATCAAAAATACTAGAGAAATCGTCCAAGACTATTTTATGACTGTTCTTGGACATTCCTCCTGTAGAGGGACAGGCCACTTAACCCTACGGCCACCTGTGGCTCTCCAAGCTCGCCCGCCCGAGGTGAACCGACCGGGGTCGTACCCGAATCGAAAAGATTGCCCTTCCCTCTGATACGCTTGAAGGAAAAAACTGTGCATCAACAGCGATCCGACGACAAAGAACCGAATTCCCCCCCCCCCCCCTCCCTCCCCCCCCCCGGCCTTCATATTGGAATGCATTGCGATCGAGAGCTTGGGTTCAATTTTGTCCGGCCGCTCATCTCCGGGACCAACTGCTCAACATGAAGGCCAAGGGGGGTTGCGGGGGGGGGTGCATTCGAAGTGGTCCCCCGACTCTTGATGCAAAATGTTTCCTTCAACGGTGCCTTCTCCGCTGGGGTGATGGGGGGGGCCTTGTGGGACGGTTGATGGACAAAATCCTGCACCAACCGCGCAACCGGGGCGACGGCGCAAACTTCCACGCGCCCCCCTGCCCCCGATTCAATGCTGATTGGCTGCGCCCGCGGGGGGCAGGATTTGGGCCAGTCGGCAGATCGCCAACTCGCGCCACAGCCTGCCCGTGTTGGATTGGGGGCACGGGGGGGGGGGCGAACACAAACATCGGAGAAAAAGGTGCAGGCTTTTGTCCACCAGCCCGAGGGCCACAGGGGGTGTGCTGGGAGGGTGCGCCTCTCCGTGCACCCCGCCCCTCCCTGGATCCACGCGGACGATGCCGGGGTCAGTTTGGCCGCAAGCACTGGGCCACCTGCAACCCCCCTCGAAATCAAACGCAAGTCTTAATCCTGATTGGCGGCGCGCACGAGGGGGTGGAAAGAGGGGGGAGGGCTTCTTAGAAGGAGGCTGCTTCCTAGAAGGCGCCGACCTTACATCTATAGATGAGGCCCGCGCCTTCCTAGAAGGCGCCGACCTTACATCTATAGATGAAGCCCGCGCCTTCTAAGAAGCAGGGGTGCTTCTAAGAAGCCCTCCCCCCTCCCCCGCCCCCCTATGCGCGTGGCTGACCTACCCCCTCGCCCTCAAATGTCAATGTTGATGACCGCGCGCAGCATTGAAACTGGCGGCCCGGGGGCGCCGCTATGTCGCGGGAAAAACTTGCGTTTGATTTCGAGGAGGGATGTAGGCTTAGGTCGGGCATGTCCCCCTCCAGGCGGATTTTGGGCGGAAGACTAAAAATATTCCAAAAATACAACCAAATAGCCAAAAGACACAAAACAAATCGTCCCCATCGTATTTTTTATTTTGGAATATTCCCCCTGTAGGGGGACAGGCCCGACTTAAATGTAGGCCGACTGGAGCCCTCTCGGGGCCCTCCGCCAGCTCTCTTGGGAGCCTCGCAGGCCGCCTGGGAGGTCCCAGATAGGCGGCTGAATCCAGGTGTAAACCTGATATGCCCGCCGCACTGGTCGCAGGAGCGTCCAGTACTGTTGAAAGAAAAACGTTTGCACCACTTCGGGTTGAGGTGCGAACCGGTTGGCACTGCTGCTCCCCCGCGCCCCCGACTGTAATATTGATAGGTGTGACATCTCCCGGGGTCCTTCGACAAAAATAAAGATGCATCCGATTTTACCGTGCGCGCCCGCTCTCAATGTTGAGGTCGGGGGCGGGGGTCGTATCATCAGCTGGCGTGCCGCCCAGGTGGTGCAAACTTGTTTCTTTCAACCGTACGGCCTAAGAATCCCCCCAGGATGGTCCCAGAGGCCCCCAAGGAGGGGCCCAAGGGCTCCCCCAGAGCACGCCTCCGTCGCACCGCTCCCGAGGACGGCCCAAGAAAGCTCCGAGACGGCCCAACGTGACCCGCAGGAACCCCCCAAGACTGCCTCACGGGAGCCCAAGAAAGTACGGAGGAAAGGGAGGAAGGACGACGAAGACGAGAGGAGAACTCCCGACACGACGCGGGAGAGCGTGTCCCATGTTCTGGCTCTCGCAAGCCTGGGGACACGAGGTAGCGGACGTGACGGCCTCCCGTGCCCCCCGCCACCCAGAATGCTGGGCTGGCACGGTGGCGGGATTTACTGCAGGCAGTTGGGCACACGCACATGCATCTATACATGATACTGGAGAAAACCATAATCATAATATTTTTAGGGCTATAGGGCTATAGGGCTATAGGGCTACAAGGCTATAGGACTATAAGGCTCTGGGGCTATAGGTCTATAGGGCTATAGGGATATAGGGATATAGGGCTATATGGCTATAAGGATATAGGGCTATAGGGCTATAGGGCTGTAGGGCTATAGGGCTATAGGGCTGTAAGGCTATAGAGCTAGAAGGCTCTGGGGCTATAGGTCTATAGGGCTACAGGGCTATAGGGATATAGGGCTATAGGGCTATAGGGCTATAGGGCTATAGGGCGGTTAGGGCTATAGGGCTATAGGGCGATAGGAGTATAGGGCTATAGGGCTATAGGACTATAAGGCTATAAGGCTATAAAGCTATAAGGCTATAGGGCTACCGGGCACCCGGGCACCTGGGCGTGCCGCCGAAATCGGCGCCACAGCTGACCTAACCATATGAATCCGCTAGGACCCCTACAGAGGCAAGCTCTGATTGGGGAATATCTAGACGTAGTTGCGCCCCACAATTGTGTGCAGAACACTGGCTTGCATCGCCGCGCAAACGCCATTGCCTCATGGTTGGTGCTGAATGCTGCCGTGTGGATGACGGCCTGAGTCGCTCCTGATTCATATTTTACTCAATGTCTAGTTAGCGCAGGCCCTGCTGCTGCTGTTCCCATCTCCTCCATCTCCTCCTCCTCCTCCTCCTCCTCCTCCTCCTCCTCCTCCTCCTTCTCCTAGCGAAGCACTAGCCACTCCTGATTATGAACAGTGTGTCTACTAAAATTTTAGGAATGGGAAATCAAATCTGGGCCCGCATGGCCCAGATCAAACGCCTGGGGGCAACACGTTTCCAGACTTGCTTGCGCTCTGGGCAAGCTGCTTGCTTCTCCCATTCCATCTTCTCCTTGTCCCTCCACTCCTCCATGCTTCTTCTACCGTGTTCCTCGTGCTCCTGCGGGGGGGGGGGGCCTGTTCGGTGGCGTCGGGGATCGTCTCCATGGTGGAGCATCAGAACTAGCCGCTGGGGTGCTAGCAGAGGCCGTCTGCAATGCCGATGAATCACGCGTGCGCCGTCTTTGCTGCCTATTCAAGCGAATGCTGTGCAATCGCATTGTCGCTTACTCGGCGGCAGCTAAGGGGTACATGTGACGCACAGGAATTGCACGCGGCCGTTCTATCTACGCGCCTGGTAATATGGGGCAGGGCACCGGAACACGCTGCATCCAGCGCAAGATGGCGTCTTGAGCTGCGGACGGGAATGTCCGGGACGGTGAGGCTGCGGGATGTCGGGCCCGCGTAGTTTGAATTGAGAGCTTGCGCTGAGGGCCTGATATCGGGGGCGGCCAAGAGGGGGGGGTCCAAGAGGGGGGGCGCAAATCATGCCCGGCGGCACGTGCGCGGCCCAAGGGGGGGGGGGGCATGGACGTAATGAAATGAGAAGAGGCGCCATGAAATCTGAGGAAATAGCATGGCCCACGCCAGGATCTCCCCCCCCGTCATCACCCCCCTTGGCCGCCCCCGATGACAGAGGGAAGAAGAAGACTCCTCCTCCTCCTCCTCCTCCCCTCCTCCTCCTCCTCCTCCTCCTCCTCCTCCTCCTCCTCCTCCTCCCCCTCCTCCTCCGAAGGAGCAGAAGCGGGGATGATGGAGCCCTGACTGGTGTGAAAGCGTGGGGCTGATGCGAATCGCGCCAAGCGAATGCCCACGGGCATATAGAATGCCAGGAGGCCTGGCGTCTGCACACCTCGCCGGAGGGCAACTCTTCGAGCCTTTTTCAAGGAGGAGGGGGAGGAGCAGGAGGAGGAGGGGGATGAGGATGATGATGATGATGATGATGATGATGATGATGATGATGATGATGATGATGATGATGATGATGATGATGATGATGATGATGTTTTTTCCCCCCCCCCCCCAGAGTTTTTTTTTCCCCAGAGTTCACCCAAAGAGTTCGATCCCCATTTCGTTCCAGGCCTTCGCAACAGCCCTATGCCGCCGAGCCTGTGATCGGAGCCTAGCTTCGAAAGCCTGCTCTGGGGTACCAGGGAGGTGGTTACGAACGTGACCATGAACACTGAGAAAGGCGTCACACATGCAAGCACAGAGCAGACGACGATTGGCGCACAGAGGGAAGAGCAGGAGAAGATAGGAAAACCACGGCCTCTCAGAAGTCTCCTCGGGAAAACCTCTGCCCATCCAGCGGAGGCACAAGCTTTTTAATCTGGGACATGTACGGTAGTGCTTCAAGTTGTCGAGGTTCACGGGGGCACCTGCAGCAGAGTACTCAATAGGACATCCAAAACAGCACGATGGACGAGTCATATCCCGAAATCTGGCCGAAGTGCATACCCCTCTACAGCAAGATCGTAAGACACTGAATCCAATATGTGTGCTAGTCATACGGCAGACAGAGCGGATTTGCTTAATACACGAGTCGAGCATACAACGACGCATATCAGGAACCCATTTGGTAAGTCTTGTGTAAACTCCATCCATCGGAAGAACACCAGCGGGAGTGCGCTTATGAAGGGCGGAGTAAATCTTTGGTTGAATGTTCTTAATAGTGTCAGGGAGCTCCGGTATCACAGACATAGTTATTGTGATAACGTCGAACATAGAGCAGAGAAATGAGGACCTATACCAACTGGGTCGGAAACAGGAACAGCATCTGGATACAATACGTTCATCGGAGTGAAGAACTTCATGGATCTCTTTCCGAGCCTGTTCCACAGACGGGCACGACGCAGCAAAACGAACCCTTGAAGCAGCCGAGAGGTTGACAATCTCCTTTGCTTCACAGTCAAGACCCAGAGACTTAAGGCGAGTGATCATGTTATACGAGAAAGAGTGTCTTGGGGCAGCCATAAGCAATTGAAGTGTTTCTTGATATATCTTAAGAACGTGCTGAGGGACAGGATAAAGTTGGAGCACGAACTGCAGGACCGATAGACACATAACCTGGAATGTAGAAAGAGTAACAGCTAAGCCGAGACCCATCTGTCTGAGAGATCGGGTCCGAGAACAGAATTTCCTTAGGGGTTCCTGCCATCCGAGATCGCCCGCCTCAGGGCCAATATAGATCCCAAGGTATTTAGCGTATCTAACAAATTCTATCTCAGCCAGGCCATTGGAATATTCATTTACACTATCACGAAGAAGCGTTAGATTCATAGAGCCACAGACCAGCACTTGACATTTCTTCGAGTTGAGAAAGAGACCACAAGCAGGACCAATGAGAACAAGCAAGGACCAGACACGCGGCAAAGATGTCAGGATGTTGTGCATCGCAAATAGGCAGTCGTCAGCATATGCAAGAGACCGTCGAATATGAGTGCCCGAGCGAGTACGCAACCATCGCAAGATGGGGTCTAGGCATAGACAAAAGAGACACATGCTACTGGGGTCTCCCTGCCGAACACCACGGAGAATCTGGAAACCATCAAATCTCTTGCCCCCGAGTGTAATGATACCGTAGTTATCACGATAGAGCAAGGTGTAGAACTCGAGTACAAAGCCAGGAATGCCCATCGATTGCAACACAGCAAGCATGAAACCAACCAGGATGGAGGGGAATGCAGCAGCGAAGTCAGTAAGCAGCATACCGGCACGATCATGCCCCAATAAATCTTGCTGAATTCCCCAGCTCTCTGCAGAGACAACATTACCAAGCATACTTCGGCCAGACACGCATGTTTGTGACTCATCAACGACCAACTTAGATAAGCGAGAGAGTGGGATGCAGAAGGCACAGGAGAGCAGCTTAGCATCTGTGTTGCCCATGGAAAGTGGCCGCGTCTCCGCACAATCACGAGTAAGCATCGGGCCTTCATCATGTGGCTCGGTACCTTTAGGCAAGAAAACCATAAGAAGACGTCGCATATCACTCGGTAAGTCGGTGATGCTGCCGTCGCACAACCCCGAGTATACAGCAAACAAAATCTTGGGAGCTGGTCCGATCGTCCAGCACTGATGCGGTAACCCATCTTCTCCAGGCATTGACGGGGAACGGGCTTTGAGCATCTGATTGAATTCCTCAAAGTCGATTTTCCAGAAATCTTCAGAGATATCAGGGGCCTTCTGAGAAAAGCTCAGGATCTCATCCCAAAGATGGGTATCAGCCTCGAAGTCGCCAAAGACGGCGCCCCAGTGATCACGAAGGGTAGCCGCAGAATCCTCCAGAGAAGCACATGGATTTCCATGAACGTCATTCACACTTGAAAGCCAGGTGCGTCTTAGAAATAGTTTCCAGATGTCCTGTTTCCTATTTATCTTTTCCAGGGCAGCACGTTTGGTGGCCTCTTCAGACGGGGAGCTTTCGATCAATGATGCCTCGCAGTCTAGCATCTGGGACTGCAGAGATTGGATATGCGCAAAAAGATCAGCAGGATGTTCGAGCTCAAGAGAAACGAGATTAAAGAAACTACCAAGATGATCATAGCATTCAATCGCACGAATAAGCATATGCTCCCTGGATAAGCGCCAACCACGAAGAGAATGAAGAGACCAGTGCAACTTCTCAGATAACGACGAGGCAGGTCTACTGGCAATAGCTTTCTTGGCACGCTTACACGTGGCGTGCATGATATCTTTGGTACGAGCAAGAGTCTGAAGAGTGTATTGCTGGCCATGGTCATTATCATCAAGCATAGCCAGAAGAGCAGAGGACAGCATCTCCTGATAGATAGGATGACGAGCAAGCCAGAGAGGAACAAAGGCTTGGGCATGGGCAGGAGGGGCATATCTCTCGATCACCGACAGGACGGGAATGTGGTCCGAGCTCTGAATATTCTTAAGCCTCCCCACCACAGATGTGCTGATGGTCAAATCCGCCAAAAGGGCCGAGGGGATGTCCGAGTAAATGCGGTCGAGGCGAGACGTCTGAGAAATAATCTTGTCACTTATTTCACGTCTGGTATCGCATTCCTGGAAGAACTCAACCCAAGAACCGCATTTCCGATGGAACAGGTCAGTGTGTGCCCTACCACCTGGACTAAAACCACTCCCATCAGTCATTAACCTGCCTTCATCTTCATATACGAAATTCCAGTCCCCGAGGATAATGTTAAAGCTCGTAGCAGCATCAGGAAGGGCATCAGAAATCCTGAAAAGGTAGTGAGCGTACGTAGCAATGGGATCACAGACGTTAGGAAGGTGCGCATTCACAATCACAAGTGCGCCGTGCTTCCCCTTGCAGACAGAGAGAAGAACTCTACCGACAATCAGTGGATAATGCTCAATCGAGTCAAACAGTGCAGAAAAGGATGACGACATAACTGCAATAACACCACCAGTGCGACTATCATCATCATAGAATGAGTGACCGATGCTAGAGTTGCGAAGATCATGCTGGAGATGCGACACATCTGCTACTTGACCATGCGTCTCTTGTGCACACACAACTGAGTAACGACGGCTGAGACTAATGAACTTCCCCCAGCGGTTGGAGGCGGTCGTGTACTTCGTAGCCTTCACCGCACCAAAAAGACCGTGAGCATTCCAGGTGACAATCGAGAGAGCGGAGGGAGGAGAGAAAGGCATATTGCAGGACCCCACATTATCTGCAATATCACTGGCGAGTCCGCCTCGACTACTCATAGCAGAGGCACCATGCCTTCTGTTCATCAAATTCGTGCGAGAAGAATCGGCCTGCGACGGCAGGCTCTCAGCAGCCTCTGAACCAAGTTCTCACAGGTACACGGGCGGGTCATTCGCTGAGGTGGTGGCCGTCGAAATGGCGTCGATCACCGCCTCGTCATTCAGCTTCCAGATACGGCAGTTCGTGAGGTTAGGCTCGAACGACCAGCCTGCGACTTCGTTGCCTTTGATGTAGATCATCTCCCAGATCTCACCATTGTCAGCGTCCCCGTACAGGTTGATCATGCCCTGGTAGCCGTTGACCCCGAGGCGCGTGCTGGTGAGGTCATGACCAGCAGCAGATAGCATATCTCGAAGCTTGGCATAGATGTGACTGCAAGCTCTCTGCCGAACCCGAACGTCAAGCGGCATGTCACCACGGCTCTTAATCTGGTGGGCGCTCTGGTTCCGCGGGTCCGTCCATTTCATACTGTCTGGTGACGCAGCAACAATGTCCTGGAACCTCTTGGCAGCAAGCTCGGCCGTAAACTCCAAGCTATATGTCTTTGCAGTGCGAGGGAAGTTGGGCGTAATCTCCTGTGCAAGATCAGCAGGAAGAAGGGGAAGTACGGTGTTGGTGAAGTGCAATCTGCGCTCACGAGCGAAAAGTATCCGAGGAAAAGTTCCAATCCATTTGCGGTTCTTATTACTCATGTCGTTCTTGGGGCCATCCACACGCCTGGCCTTCGACCCACTGGAATCTGAGAATGTGCGAGTCGAGCCACCGGCAGAAGATGCCGTCGAAGGGGTGGTCGATTGCATAGCTTGTAACTTCTTAATATCCGCTTCGAGTGCGGCAACTTTCTCATTCGCTTCATTGATGTACTTATTCTCCGCATTAACCGGGATGCCATGTCCAGACATGATCTGCTCCAACTTGGAGAAGCGCTCGTCGGTGTCCTTCGTCGCAGTGTCGATATTGCTCTCCAAGTAGTTCATACTCGTGGTGACCTCCGACCGAAGCTGAAGTACTTCAGCCGCTTGTTCTTTGATTAGCGTCTCGGTTTTGCCATTTATGTTCTTTTCCTGAGTCTCCAGCATCTTCTGAATGTTCGCGAGCAGTGTGTCATGATGGCCTCCCGCAGAACTCGAACTTCCGCCTGCAGCCAGCGACATGTCTGACGGGTGGTCGAGACAGAATGGAAAGTCTTCTGCAGGAGAATCTGCAGCCCTCTGCTGCGCCAGCAAGGCCCCAGCCTGAGCCAGCACGCAGTGGATATCCCAAAGCTAATCAGGTTACCTCGCTTCTCCGAAGCTTCTACCCGTTTAGCCTTGAGCCAAAATGGCTACGGATGATGATGATGATGATGATGATGATGATGATGATGTTGATGATGATTATGATTATGATGATGATGAGGAGGAGGAGGAGGAGGAGGAGGAGGAGGAGGAGGAGGAGGAGGCGGAGGAGGAGGAGGAGGAGGAGGAGGAGGAGGAGGAGGAGGAGGAGGAGGAGGAGGAGGAGGAGGAGGAGGAGGAGGAGGAGGAGGAGGGAGGAGGAATGTCAATGGAACTGCACGCTCTTGCGCGTCTTGGCTGGAAGAGGGGCCTCCATCCGAAGGGAGGGAACGACGGCACCCGTGCGATGTCTGCGATTCTTTCATGCCAGAATCCCGAGCGCGCTGGCAGCACCCATATCATGTGGGTACGAAGTGGTCCTGGACCAGCAGATCTTCAATGTGATCGCGCTGGTTCGGCCATGTGAAAGTTGTAACTCAACTATAGAGAAAAGCCCGCGGCATACTAGCATCGGGGTGCGCGCGTTGCGGTTGATTTGTGGCATATCAACCATCGAACACTGCGTGGCCATAGGGTACCTACAAGGAAGACGTGCGCAATGCTGCTTTGTAACCGCCACTTGAGCAGATGCCAACCTCGAAGAGCGAATGGGCAGAGGGCTCGGAGGGAGCGGACCAGGGAATGTGTGCACAACGTGTGCATGGCAGTGGCATGGGGCGAAGCATTGACAAGCTATGTTTGGTGAGCGGGGCTTGGCCTATGAGTACTCTCGGCCCAGAGAGAGGTGGCGATCTTAATGTTGAAGCCGAGCAATACGTTAAACCAATGCGCTAAAGCAATGCGCTAAGGCACTGCGCGGACTGCCTCGATATGAGATAGGCACTACGCTGAAACACTACGCTAAAGCATGTCACACCACATACATGTAGTCTTTGTCCGTCGTGCTTCAACGTGGTGTTTTCGCGGGCCGAATAAGACGAGGAATGTACGAAGCACCATGGCGAGAAACTCATGATGGAAACGACTTGTGCTCCAGCCGTGAAATTCGTCGACCGTTCAAACATAAATATCACACCATGTGAACAACTACCAGACGAACCTCACCGCCCGCCCTACCGACACCTGTTGTGGTGCGATGGGGGGAATGAGCTAGAATGAAGAATGACGGAGGGGTAAGAAGTGGAGCAGCAGCAGGATGGAACGGAAGAGGATGAGCTGGATGATGCAGAAGGAGGTCGAGGAATACGAGGAGTAGGGAGAGGTTGCGGAAGCAGAGGAGGAGGAGAGGAGGAGGAACAACGGAACCATGAACATATAGTGGACACCGAACAGCGAAGTATGCCCGATGCCACATCGCAAATGGCTGGATGGCTCAACACGAGACAAACATGGGAGACCGAAGCGAGACATATGACACGAGACAGGCCAGAAGAAAGCACGACACTATTTTCGCGCCGCGAGTCGGCAGATGGCGGCAAACGCTGCGTGTTGCTTTGGCACAGGGGCGCGTGATCCATTGACCTGGATCTCTGACATTAGTTTTAGACACGAGATCAGGCTTCAGATGGAGACGGTGCAGGGGAGAAGGTGACGACGAACTGCACGTTCTACAAGGGACTTCTCACTAACGCAAATCGGTGGTGACGTCTCCATTCAAGATCCTGGAGCCGAGCGTCAGATCTTAGCCATACGTGGCGACCGCACACAGAATCGCACTTGTATCATCGAAGACGCCTGCGGTGAATCACAACTGCGCCGTCTTGTCGGTAGGCTAATCACCGTCTGTTGTATGTAGATCGTGGCCACGAGAGCGCGGACCCATCATACTACCACATGTCCCAGGACACGCAGAGGCTGAGGAAATACGAGCCGTGGGTGGTAGTGCATCCCTCGCAGACCAGGAGGGGGGTGTCACGCGCGTGTGGAAGCTGAGAATCTAAGTAACGGGGAAGACGAGAACCTCTGCGCTCCTTAAGCCTGACGGGTGATATCAGGTGGAATCGGTGTCGTTGAGTGGCTAAGTGTAACGAGCACTGCAGTCATGCTGATTGCCGTATTCTACAGATGGGGACTAAATCTGACTAGCTGCGGAAACCAATCTACATGGGGAGCCGAAGGTGAGGTGCTGGGAACAGACGAGCACATGCTGATAGGGGGCAACTGCAGCTCAGACAAAGCAACAGCGTGCGAATCGTGCCCCTGCGAGTCCGTTGACAAATGCCTGATGATGCTTACGCCAAGCTACGGGCCAGATATCCTGCGATCAACAAAGGCTCCCAACTTCGCGCTTCGCGCTCCGCGAAGCGCGAAGCGCGAATAACTTCGCGCTCTCGCGCCGACCCCCCAAAGGGAGAAGAGGAGGACGAGGAGGAGGGGAGAAGGAATGAGGACCGCGAAGCGCGAAGCGCGAATAACTTCGCATCCTCGAGGGAGCCCTTGGATCAAGGACTCTTGGATATCGTGCCGCCGCGGCGGCCCCAGCGCGGCGCGCTGTGCCCCGCGAGCGGACGGCGTGTCGCGCTCCGCTCCGCGGAGCGAGAGGCTCGGCGAGGCTCGGGACGCGGACGCCTCGGGACGGGGAAGTGCAACGCGTGCCGCGAAGAAGAGTGGCGGGCAGAACCGGCGGAGCGACACTCCATCCAAAAGTTCCCGACCGTGGTTGGGCGAGCGCGTTCCACTACAGCATTCGCAAGGCGACTACTCGCAAATGGCCTGGATCCCCCGCGGAGGATCTACGATGCATTACATCAAAGCAGACATGTGTTGTTCGGACGTTTGCGAGTAGGCACTTTGCGAGTAGTGGAACGCGCTCGGTGAATGGTGTCCATCGGGGCCGCAGGGGTCAGATTCGCGTGGCTGCAGCTCGCAAGGTGTATGATGCCCCCAGCGCGCTCCCGCAGGCAGTCACGCGCTGGACCTCCACTTGGCCCTGTTTCTGCGCAGCCTTCTCCACTAGTCTCCTTTGCGAGCTACTCCAGTGCTCACCCAGAGGACGAGGGGGGGGGAGAAAAGAAAGGAGCATGACGAGGAGCAGGGGGAGCATGAGGGGAGATGAGGACATGGAGGCTCTGTCTCTGACTGCTTCGTCGTCTATCTCTGATCCTCTCTCGCCTTTCGTCACTCGGCCCTGCCGTCCTTCACCTCATCCAGTTTATGGCTTAGGGCGCTTCTGCCGCAGAAGAGGGTGACATATATATATATATATATATATATATATAGAGAGAGAGAGAGAGAGAGAGAGAGAGAGAGAGAGAGAGAGTGACAGGACTCTACGACACTGCCATCTACGACTCTACGACACTGTCGCCAACGTTTGCCATCCTTTCTCGCACGCTCCACGAAAACAAACTTCCTGGGTCAATCATTTGTCCTTGAACTGGCCCTTGCGCTCAAAATGCCGACACGATGAGGAGAGGGAGGAGGCGAGGAGAAGAGGAGGAGGAAGAGGAGGAGGAAGAGGAGCAAGAGGAGCTAGAGGAGGAAGAGGAGGAGGAGGACGAGGACGAGGAGGAGGCAGAGAGTCACCCAGGAGAAGGAAGAGGAAGAGGAGGCGGAGAGTCACCAAGGAGAAGGAGGACGAGGAGGAGGAGGAGGAGCAGGATGAGGAGGAGGAGCAGGATGATGAGGAGGAGCAGGAGGGTGAGAAGGAGGAGGAGGAGGAAAGGGCACCGAGATCGCTCGAGGACCAGTTCTCCTAGCCAATGGGCAGCGAGAGAGCAGGCGGGCAATGCTGACCAGCAGCGCTGGCCGCTGTGCATGTCGCCGCGCTCCTTCGGTCACTGCGCCACCGCCGCCGACGCGTGGGACTTTCGCGGGGAGGCACTCTCGCGGAGTTGCCGAATGTGGGGGTCTTGAGGGGCAACGATAGGGGCGGGACTTGCATGGGGGGGGGTGCATCGACCTGGAATCGGCGATTCGTCGCCGATAGATCGGCGATAGGCCTCCGATCGTGAATCCGCACCCTCCTGGGCAGCTTGGGGCTATCGGGCCGCCTACCGGCGATCAATGGGCGATTGGGGGTCGATGCGCCCCCCCCCCCTATGCCCATCCCCCCCTATCGTTGCCCCTGAGGTCTGCAGCAGGCTAGCGGGACTTTCGCGGGGAGGTGCCTTCGCGGGGTTGCCGAATGCAACCAGCCTCGAACTTATCCCCATCCCTCAGATGGGCGAGCCAAAAGCGGGGACAGTCCTGGGGATGTGCGAGGGAATCCTTACGATCGGCATCGAGGTGAGGTGATGCCAAGCAGAGTTTTCTGCATTAGGATTAGCATGATTATTCTGATTCGTATGAGTATTGTTTTTTTCCCCACATCCAAAGTGGGGTTCTTGTTTTCTCTGCACACCCCGCGCAGGAACACTCACCCCACCCCCTCTCCTCTTCTGCCTCATCATGCGGATGAGAATTCCGTCGTCACTTTTGGGCTCCTGGGGCGTGAATTTGGAGGAAGTATCAGGCGGGAGCGTCGTCTGTGAGTGAATTGCGAGGAAGTCTCAGGCGGGAGCCCCCTCCCTATGGGTCCCGCACTTCATGTTGGTAATCCGAGGCGGGTCATCGGAACCTTGTAACTGTCGTCACTTTTGGGCTCCTGGGGCGTGAATTTGGAGGAAGTATCAAGCGGGAGCGTCGTCTGTGAGTGAATTGCGAGGAAGTCTCAGGCGGGAGCCCCCTCCCTATGGGGCCCGCACTTCATGTTGGTAATCCGAGGCGGGTCATCGGAACCCTGTAACTGTCGTCACTTTTGGGCTCCTGGGGCGTGAATATGGAGGAAGTATCAAGCGGGAGCGTCGTCTGTGAGTGAATTGCGAGGAAGTCTCAGGCGGGAGCCCCTCCCTATGGGGCCCGCACTTCATGTTGGTAATCCGAGGCGGGTCATCGGAACCCTGTAACTGTCGTCACTTTTGGGCTCCTGGGGGGTGAATATGGAGGAAGTATCAAGCGGGAGCGTCGTCTGTGAGTGAATTGCGAGGAAGTCTCAGGCGGGAGCCTCTCTCTATGGGGCCCGCACTTCATGTTGGTAATCCGAGGCGGGTCATCGGAACCCTGTAACTGTCGTCACTTTTGGGCTCCTGGGGCGTGAATTTGGAGGAAGTATCAAGCGGGAGCGTCGTCTGTGAGTGAATTGCGAGGAAGTCTCAGGCGGGAGCCCCCTCCCTATGGGGCCCGCACTTCATGTTGGTAATCCGAGGCGGGTCATCGGAACCCTGTAACTGTCGTCACTTTTGGGCTCCTGGGGCGTGAATGTGGAGGAAGTATCAAGCGGGAGCGTCGTCTGTGAGTAAATTGCGAGGAAGTCTCAGGCGGGAGCCCCCTTCCTATGGGGCCCGCACTTCATGTTGGTAATCCGAGGCGGGTCATCGGAACCCTGTAACTGTCGTTACTTCCCCACATCCAAAGTGGGGTTCTTGTTTTCTCTGCACACCCCCGCGCAGGAGAGAGATCTCACTCACCCCCTCTTCTCCTCGCACTCATTCACACACACATCATCATCACTCGCACTCTCTCACACGCTCACGAACATCATCGTCATCATCGGTATCGGCATCATCCTCATTCAAACATCATCATCGCCACCACCACCCACAATCAATCATCATCCTCTTCACCACTCATCTTCACCACCACTCATCATCCTCATCCTCATCATCGTTGAGTAAAGTGTGAGGAAGTCTCAGGCGGGAGCCCCCTCCCTATGGGGCCCGCAGATCATGTTGGTAATCCGAGCGGGTCATCGGAACCCTGTAACTGTCGTCACTTTTGGGCTCCCCAGGCCTGAAAATGAGGAAGTCTCAGGCGGGAGCCTCGTCTGTGAGTGAATTGGGAGGAAGTCTCAGGCGGGAGCTCCCTCCCTATGGGGCCCGCAGATTATGTTGGTAATCCGAGCGGGTCATCGGAACCCTGTAACTGTCGTCACTTTTGGGCTCCTCAAGCCTGAATATGGAGGAAGTCTCAGGCGGGAGCCTCGTCTGTGAGTGAATTCTGAGGAAGGCTCAAGCGGGAGCCCCCTCCCTATGGGGCCCGCAGATCATGTTGGTAATCCGAGCGGGTCATCGGAACCCTGTAACTGTCGTCACTTTTGGGCTCGTCAAGCCTGAATTTGGAGGAAGTCTCTGGCGGGAGCCTCGTCTTTGAGTGAATTGTGAAGAAGTCTCAGGCGGGAGCCCCCTCCCTATGGGGCCCGCAGATCATGTTGGTAATCCGAGCGGGTCATCGGAACCCTGTAACTGTCGTCACTTTTGGGCTCCTCAAGCCTGAATATGGAGGAAGTCTCAGGCGGGAGCCTCGTCTGTGAGTGAATTGCGAGGAAGTCTCAGGCGGGAGCCCCCTCCCTATGGGGCCCGCAGATCATGTTGGTAATCCGAGCGGGTCATCGGAACCCTGTAACTGTCGTCACTTTTGGGCTCGTCAAGCCTGAATTTGGAGGAAGTCTCTGGCGGGAGCCTCGTCTTTGAGTGAATTGTGAAGAAGTCTCAGGCGGGAGCCCCCTCCCTATGGGGCCCGCAGATCATGTTGGTAATCCGAGCGGGTCATCGGAACCCTGTAACTGTCGTCACTTTTGGGCTCCTCAAGCCTGAATATGGAGGAAGTCTCAGGCGGGAGCCTCGTCTGTGAGTGAACTGCGAGGAAGTCTCAGGCGGGAGCCCCCTCCCTATGGGGCCCGCAGATCATGTTGGTAATCCGAGCAGGTCATCCAAAACCTGTAACTGTCGTCAATGTTGGGTTCTCGCGCTGCCAGAACGCAGTTCCCAGGCCACACTTTGGATGCAACAAGGAAGTTTTTGGGCTCCTCAGGTCGCCGAGGTGCTGCGACAGGGCGCCGAAGGCGCCGACGACGACGGCCAGGCCGAGGCGCGGGCGCGGAGCTTGCTGATGTTCAGGCCCAGCGAAAGGGAGTTCACATGGCAGAGCTCGGGGGCGCACAGCGTGCGCCGCTCGGGGTTCACCCTGACGCACGCGTCCTACCTGACCTCCACGCTGTCGCAGGGCCAGACGCTGCGCAAGGGCGTCACCATCGACTGCGCGAGAGACGAGGACGCTGGCCGCACGGGCATGTCGGACGAGCAGTGGTGGCTGCACCTCTACGTCATGTTCTCCCGCGCCACGTGCATGCGGAACATGCTGATCCTGCGGCCGCCGCCGCGAGAGTTCCTGGAGTGCGGGCCGCCGGCGTCCCTGCGGAAGGCGCTCCTGGAGTTCGACAAGAGAACGGTTTTGTCCAGGGCGGAGGCGAAGCAGCTCGCGGCAGAGCTGGGCTTCGTGCTGCCTTCCGCCTGAGCGCGGCTGCGCCTCGCTCGAAGCCCGCGGGGTTGTCCCAACGGCTTGGTCTTGCGCGCCAACGGCTCGCGGGGTTGTCCCGACAGCCTGGCCCGCGGGGTTGTCCCAACGGCTGCGCGACGTGACCTGTAGAGAACGCGCCTGTGCTGGCCGTGGCGGCGACGGCGCCGAGGAACATCGACATGCGCGCTCATGCAACAGGAAGGGGAGGAGGTGGCGGGGCGCGGAACAAACAGGGGGGCGAGGATGGGGACAACGTAAGGAGTGGAAGGGGGGCCCGCGCCAAGGCGAGAGGAAATATACGCAGAAGAGACAGCCAGGACGCCTCACCAACCACGAGGACGACGGTGATGGCTTTTTCCAGATTCGCCCAGAGGATTCTTATGTGGGGTTCTTCCGTCGGAGTAATTATTGTTAATAGTAGGTAGGCAGGCAGGTAGGTTGGTAGGTAGGTAGGTAGGTAGGTAGTAGTGGTAGCAGTAGTAGTAGTGGTAGCAGCAGTAGTAGTAGTAGTAGTAGTAGTAGTAGTAGTAGTAGTAGTAGTAGTAGTAGTAGTAGTAGTAGTAGTAGTAGTAGTAGTAGTAGTAGTAGTAGTAGTAGTAGTAGTAGTAGTAGTAGTAGTAGTAGTAGTAGTAGTAGTAGTAGTAGTAGTAGTAGTAGTAGTAGTAGTAGTAGTAGTAGTAGTAGTAGTTAGTAGTTAGTAGTTAGTAGTTAGTAGTAGTAGTAGTAGTAGTAGTAGTAGTAGTAGTAGTAGTAGTAGTAGTAGTAGTAGTAGTAGTAGTAGTAGTAGTAGTAGTAGTAGTAGTAGTAGTAGTAGTAGTAGTAGTAGTAGTAGTAGTAGGAGTAGTAGTCGTAGTGGTAGTCGTAGTAGTAGTAGTAGTAGTAGTAGTAGTAACATTAATTCTGTTAATGCCGTTAGTATTGCTATTGCTATTCGTATGACTAGTCTGATTCATATTATTTTTTGTAATTATTACTATGATTATTATTATGATTATTACTGTTAGTACTATTATTATCATTATTATTATTGTTAGGAATAACATTATTTTAATCATCATCAACATCATTATTATTACTATTGTAATGTTCACTGTTCATGCCTATATGTATGTATGTATGTATGTATGCATGCATGCATATATGTCTGTATGTGTGTGTATGTATGTATGTATGTATGCATGCATGTGTGTATGTATGCATGTATATATGTATGTATGTATGTATGGATGTATGTACGTATGTATGTGTATGTATGTGTATGTATGTGTATGTATGTGTATGTATGTGTATGTATGTGTATGTGTATGTATGTATGTATGTATGTATGTATGTATGTATATATACTATGAACAGGGATAGGGGATATGTTTCAAACTGGTAAGAGTGTGGGGGTCTGGAGCAGGCTTGCAGCAGAGCCGCCCCGCACACTTCCCGCCCCTGCCCAAGCGCGCCTGCAGCCCCGGCCGCTCTCCTGGGCGGCCTCCCCGAGCGCGGCCCTCAGCCGCGCCACCTCCGTGTCCCGGTGCTGCACCTGGCGGGGCTGTGGGCCGCGAGTTGGAATCTGGGCGAGGGCTGGCACATCCGTGGCTGCCAAAACGGTCTGCCTGGAAAAATAAACCATATTCCCGGAATCAAGCTCAGCGCACTGAGTAGTAAACGGGCTGCTTCCCGGAAAGAAAAAATGATACCGGAGAAAAAACCCAATCATAATATTTTTAGGGCTGTAGGGCTATGGGGCTATACGGTTATAGGACCATAGGGCTAGGGCTATAGGGCTTTCGGGCTATAGGGCTATAGGAACATAGGGCTATAGGGCTAAAATGCAATAAGGCTATAGGGCTATAGGCCTATAAGGGCTATAGGGTTATAGGGCTATAGGGCGATTCGGCTATAGGGCATAAGGACTGTAGGGCTATAGGGCTATTAGGGCTATAGGGCTATAAAGCTATAGGGCTATAGGTCTATAGGTCTATAGGGATATAGGGCTATAGAGCTCTAGGGCTATAGGGCGATCGAGCACCCGGGTTCCCTGGGGCACCCAGGCACCCCGGGGCACCTCCGGGCACCCCTGGGCACCTTCGGGCACCTCCGGGCACCCCCGGGCACCCGGGCACCCCCGGGCACCTGGGCACCCCTGGGCACCCGGGCGTGTGGCGAAAATCGGCGGCAAACCTAACCTAACCATATGAATCCGCTAGGACCCCTACAGAGGCAAGCTCTGATTGGGGAACAACAAATTCCCGGAGCTCCGTTTTAGCAGCCACGGGTTTGCCAGCCTTCGCCTGGCTTCTGAGCGAGATAGGATGAGGGGCAACGATAGGGGGGGACTGGCATAGGCGGTGATACATCGACTTATAATCAGCGATGCATCGTCGACAGATCGGCTATAGGCCCCCGATTGTGAATCCGCACGTTCCTGGGCAAGTTGGGGCTATCGGGCCCAGATCGGCGATCCATGGGCGGTTGGGGGTCGATGCATCCCCCCGTATGCCTTTCACAACCGGCGCTTTTGCTCGAGCTCGGGCCCCGGGGCCCTCACAGATCGATCCGGCTCGAAACATGACGCAGAAAGACGGGGTCTGGGGGTCTGGGCGTGATCTTTTGCGATGTTGCACTTTGTTTGCATCGTCGGATCTCAGGGAAGGACGGCGTCGGACAGAGCGAGGGCGCGGTGCGTTCCGCCCGCTGGCGCGGAAAGGTCAGAACTCGGCGGCGAGCCTGGGGGGAAGTGCGGAGGAGCAGGCCTTCTCAGAAGGAAGCGGGCTTCTGAGAAGCCTCCCGGGACATTTTTTCTGTGCCTGCGGGGGGTGCTAAGAAATTTTCTCAGAAGGCCAGGGGCCTTCCGAGTCTTCTGAAGAGGCCCGCCCCTTCCCACGTCCCCCGCAAGCTCGCCGCCGAAGAATGCCCTGGGGGATCGAGGCTGGGGCGTACTCGAGCACAGCATTTGATCGCTCGGCGGTGCACCGCGCGTGGCGCGTCTCGATAACTCTCGAGCGCGCTTTGCAGGTGCTGGTGAGGGGGGAAGGGGGGCGGCCAGACATAAGAGACCAGCCAGCAACAAGCAAGGCTGCAGCTGGCCGCTTTCATAAGAATGACGGGTCGCCCCCTCCTGTCGGCCCGAGGATTCTCCGCAATCTGTTCGGAGGATCGCAAGAAACAACTCATAAGGTTTTGAGCTTTTAACGAACCGTAAAGGAAAATTTGTAAAATTTGTGCCAGCGTTGATCACGCACGGTGAGTTAATCTGGATATTGGACCCTTGAAATGACATGTGCCATGTGGCGCAATGAATTGTGCCTCTAATGAATGGCCAACTTTCCTGCTCGCGCAAACATCCCACCCTCGCACCAGCAAACTGTTTAGCAAAACAAATGGAACCACGATTGCGACTGCTGATTCGAAGTTGCTAGCGCGCGTTTGCGGCTGCACTGGCACGCGAACACTTACGCGCAGATCGGCCACCTGGTTTGGTACAACTGGTGCGGCCGTGATGGCGCTTGCCGATGGGAACTTCCCAGCTCGTCTCAAAGGCCGGGCTGCCATGCGGGAACGCATCAAGACCTGTCGGTGACTCGCGCAAGCGCGATATTATGATGACGATGACAGTGGCCGCAACCATGATGATATTAGCGCTGGTAATGGCATTCATGACGATGACGATGATGGCGCCGATGCTGGTGATGACGATCACGATGAGGATGCTGTCCCCGTGTCGGTGATGAGGAAGTGCGCGGGCACGTGGAATGTCAAGACGTCTGGTGCATTTTGTGGTGGACTTGTTGTTAGATAATGCTTGGGTTCTTACATATGATTGAAGAGCTCTATCTTGACACGTTTCGCAATCGAATGTTTTTAGAAACATTCGGCACGCGCGCGCGGCAGCGCGCTCATGTGGTCTGCATGGTGTTATCGGGTGTGGATGCGCACGCTGGGCGCATGCTAGATCAACGTGGATGCACCGCGTGGTGCACTTAGAATGCGTATTCTGTACGAGACTTCTAACGTCATATGGTTTCCAATGAATTCACCAAATGCGCGGTGGCAGCCAACCCGTCAATGTCAGACGAGCAAGATCGATATATAGATAGATGTATAGATATATATCGATCGATATATACACATATTAAGAGCGGTGGTACGTTAACGTGTTTGAAGCTCTCATGTGATTGACATGACTTCGATCTGTGCGCGCGTGATTGTTTGTTAGTTAGCAGGGGTTTCTTGATACATAATCATGTGAGACAGACGATTGTGCGCGCATGTCAATATTTCACAGGGCTGTCGTGGGGGCCGATACCAACCCTCCTGGGTCAGTTGGCAGATCCACATGTAAGTTGCAATGCAAAGCGGGGTGGGTCCTACCATTCTCTTGAAAGGAGAACATATGTGTTGCAAGCGATGTGGTGCAATCAATGTGGCGCAACATATGCAACTATGTCAGTAATTAACTGACAATTCTACTGCTAGCGCAAACATCCTACCCTCCAGCCAGCAACTTGATGGGTACATAAAATCCATGAAGCCACGATTGCGGTTGCTCATTGGAACTTGCTATCGCGTCTCTGCGGTCGCACTGGCACGTGGGCGTTCACGCGCAGATCGGCCGCCTGGTTTGGCACAACTGGTGCGACCGCGATGGCGCTTGCCGATGGGAACTTCCCAATGCGTCTCGTAGACTGCGGTGGCGAGCGGGCGCGCATAAGACGGGTCAGTGAATCGGGCAGGCGCGATATTATCATGATGTCGACAACGGCGGCAACCATGGTGATTATAACGCTGATGGTGATGGCGACGATGACGATGACGACGGCAAGGCAAATGGAGGCACTGATGCTGGTGACGACGGTGGTGATCAGGATGATGTCCACGGTGATGAGGGGGATTGTGCTGATGATGGTGGCAATTGCGGCGATTGACGATGACGATCACGGCGGTGACGCGATGCCGCTGTTGAGGATGATGAAGAAGTGCGCACGCGCAGAGATTCAAGAATCTGTTTTTTGCTGAACATCACATTTTTTCTCGTCGTACATAGATATACATATATATATATGCATATGTACCGTTGAAGAGCTAAATCTGTTAACGTTTCAATCTATACTCGTGAAGAGCTCCATCATGATGATAATGGCGGTGGCGGTGGCGAAGATGATGACGACGACGACGACGACGACGGCAAGGCCAATGGCGGCTCCGATGGCAGTGACGACGGCGCCGATGATGATGGTGTCCATGTGTCTGTGGTGAAATTGATTGCGCTGATGATGGCGGCGCCGGCGATTGTCAATGACGATGACGGCGTAGATGCGATGGCGTTTGTAAGGGTGATGGGGTACTGCGAGCGCGCGCCAGAATTCAAGGCATCTGGTAAATTTTGTGATGGACTTGTTGTTGAATAGCCCTTGGGTTTTCACATGTTTCCGAAGAACTCTATCTTGAACTGTTTTGAAAGCCACATGCTTTTGGACGGATGCCGGCACGCGCGCGTGGCAGCGCGCGCAGGTGTCGTCCGCGTGGGTATTCGAGACGGATTCGCGCGCTGGGCGCGTGATAGATCAACGCGCGGATGAGCCGCGTGGTGAAATGAGAGCGCGGGTTCTGGACGAGATTGCTAAAATCCTATTATTTTTCCCATGGTGCGAGGGCACCTAATCAGCAAAACTGAAGATGAAAAGCCCATGGGCTTTGCATGATTTACGTTGGAATGCTAGCTATTACGACCAATGTGATTGGTATGACTTCGGCATGCGCGCGCGTGGAATTTCATATATTTTTGCAAGTGGGCGCTGCTCGTCTGAGATAAACGAACGCATGCGCATGGAACGCTTTGACAAGGGTGACAGGGGTGAACCGACACCAGCTGGGATTGAACGCTTTGCTTTCATATGGAAAATGAGCGATGGTGCATCATGATATGTACAGTGAAATACGAAAAAAGGTTCGGTTGAGTCTGGGCTCGAGTGTGGTCGAAACTTTGTCTTCCTGTGGAAGGATATTGCATTGGTTTCAAGATACGTGGTGCAGCCTGTGGTGCAATTTTAATTCGCAAGCGAATTGTCAACGCCACCACTGCTCGCGCAATCACCCCGCCCTCCCACGCGCAACCCGCCCCCGCCCCCAAGCGGCCGCGATAGCGCTGCCCTCTTGGCGCTGGCTGGCGCATCTCTGCGGCAGCGCTAGCGCGCGCAAGCCCGTGCAAAGCGGCCAGCTGGTTTGGCGCAGCCGACGCTGCCGCGGTGGCGCTGACCGCTGGGGTCTTCCCAACGCTTTTCGTAGGCCGCGCTGGCGCGCGGGCTCCAGTGCGGGTCGGTGAGTCGGGCGGGCCGCTTTCATGGTGACGTCGACAGAGGCGGTGGCGATGATGACGAAGACGACAGCGTGGCCAGTCATGGCGCCAATGCTGGTGACGACGATGGCGATGATGACGTAAATATGTCGTCGGTGATGAAAGTGATAAACTGGCGATGGTGGCAATGGCGGCGATTGACGACGAGGATAGCGGCGGTGATGTGGCGGCGCTGATGAGGGTCA